TGTTGATTCTAAAATTTACTACGTGAATATTTTAACTTTCTTTGTAATGTCCTGAAGCAATATATGAAGAATTGACCGTTTCGATCAACATAGAGGTAAACAATGTTCGATTTCAGCTTGCTGTTTCGGTGTACCACCGAATTCATGAAGGGAATTTTCAACGTTGGTTGGATTATCCCTCTAGTGATTATAATTACCGACATAATTTTATATTGCTGTAGTTTGTAAGATAAAAACTGCTTGCCTGATTATTTTTACAAATATTCTTCAGATTTTCATAAGAAATTTGCCGCTGTTTGTTCGTAATTTCTGTAGACAATTAATCAGCCATCTAAAATGTTAGTTTGTATAAGTAAATCTATTAAAAAAGTCTGTATTTTGTTAGTCATTGGTAACCAAACATACGCATCTTCATTAATCAACTAAAATTAAAAATAAACTTTTGGTCGAATATACATTTGCCTAATTTTTGTTTTGAAGTTCAGCTGTGGTAATCGGAGATTGTATACTGAGGATTTTGTTGGTAATTGAGTAATTGCTCAGATTGTCGTACTTGTAATATTTTTAGTGTTATGTCTAATGTTTTGTTTTGGAAAATGTTGTTATTTGATGGATTCACGTGTGCATAAATTAATAACATCAATACCTCGCCACTGACCGATTCATAAACCTTAAATTATTACAAAAACAACAATTACATTCAAATTACCATCAAACGACTTTGTTGGAAGTTTCATTGAAAGCAGATATGATAAAATTTTTTAAATCAAATTATTTACTTATAGTTATACTTATTGTTTAAAAGCATAATTATTGACAATTACTTCATGGGACGATAGATACCGGAAATGTACTTTAATTATACTTTGTAATAAATCAATCAGAGAAAGACGAGTGATTTTTTTAATTCAGTATGATTTTTAATTCAGTGAAAATTCAGTCCACTTAGTCCATAGTATCTAAAGCTTGATTGCAAGCAATAAGAAGGGCTCGCTTATGAATAAGGTTTGATCTGACTACGCACTCAGCTGTTCAATTCGATCAGTGTATCTGGATATACTTCAACTAAATTCATTAACTCATATGTACTATTGATTTTATCGTAGACGAATAGATAGATCTAACCTTGATCACAGACAAAAGATATAATTTTCCAACTGTTTTCTACTAATAAAGGCAAGCACATTGACAGTGAATGATGTTTGAACTATTTCATAACCTGAATATACGTAAAACCGTTCTTTTTGCTAGTATTGATTTCGGCTTACTTCCGTGGAAAATCTTGGATTATTTTGCGGAAGCAAATATTGCAATTATCTGAATTTCAATCGCTTATGATATTTTAAGTATAGTTTTTTTCATGGAGTTTGCTCATCTGTTACTGTCACAATTGTTTTCTACGTGTACAATGAATTCAATTACAACAGCTTACATTCAGTTTGTTATGGCTTTGTTTTTTCGGAATTCCCGTCGACAACTGTTATGTCCTATGAGTTTTCAGTGTTTTATCTGTCTCGCTCCGTTACTTATACATAAAATATGCCGAACCATTACAATGCCTAAGAGGCGAAGCAAGAACAGACATACTTGTATACGTGAAGATTCATTTCCATGACAACAACCTTAGTCAAAAATACACTAATTTATGTATTGATTCTCCCATCCAGTTGATTAGAGAAACGTTGTGTTCATCAAGATACAGCAAACGTGTATACTACATATCAGGCTGAACACAATTCAGATTAACTAAACACAAAGAACAGCCACTTTTTAAAATAGACATCATACTGAAATAAATCAAATGTCATACTGAAACAGATGTCATGCTGAAAACAATGTAATTATTATTCTGAACAATCACCATTCTGTATGAAAACGGAAATAATGTAGAATAACAATCATAAACATTACAAAATGTAGTTTGCCTTTTCACTACTTTATATCACAAATGCTCCGTTATTTCCTGTGCATGACTATAACAATCATTCTGATTAACATAATAAAGTCAGGCAATATTCGTTCAGCTATTCATATTTATTAGTCTAGAGATACTCTGAAGATTCCATTTTTCGGTTTTCAACCAAAAAGACTCTTCTGATCACTAGCATAACCTGCAGGTTATATGTGATCATAGTTTCTGAGTTAAGAAGCAAACACAGATAATATTTCCTCATTTACTACAATTTTTACACATTTCACACCAAATGACTTACATCAAGGCATTAGAAACCATATTCACTATTCTGATATGTTAAGATAATCCAGATCATGAATCGAATGTTAGGTCACCATTAGAAAGAAACCCAGAAAAGCTGAATGGCCCCTGTGCCTCAGTGGGGGACTCATCAGCAGTGAGCATCCACAACCCTCCTCCACTCACAGGAATCAAACTCAGGAGCTTTGGTCCCGCGCGCGAACGCTTAACCTAGGGACTTCTAGTGACTAACTGCGAGACGACTCATGACCAGTGGAGTTCACCTTAGTTCAGGTGTGAAGTACTCATCAAAGACAGTGGATAAGGTTGCTCAATATCGTTGACTCATCGAAGTTAGGCATTAGCACCGTTGTATGCCGGCTCAATGGTCCATAGATTAGGCGTTCACACGCGGAACAGAAGGTTCTGGATTCGATTCCTAGGAATAAAGGGAGTCGTGGATGCTCACTCCTGATGAGTCCCATAGTGAGACTTAACGGCCATCCAGGTTTCTTTCTAATAATGATCTAACATTGATCGATTTATGATTTTAATTAGCTTAACAATCCCTACAACCTTATAATGATAAGATATTCGTTCAGTACATAGGTCATTCGTGACCAAATTATGTTTCAGAATTTTCGTTTCTGATAATTTCTTTGGATAAACTTGGAATAAGCTTACAAGCTGAACGTTGAAGGTATTTTACTGCACTCATTCAAGTTCTTACAAATATAATTTTTCCAAAAACATGAATTCAGTATAATTTGATCAGTGTCTACAGTAGTAATTCATGCCAATGAATAACGGAAGTGTTCTTCTCGTTAAATGAAATATTGTACAATGTCATGTAATCAATAAACACTATGTTTAAAATTAATTCAAATAAATATGCCAATTAACTGAATAAAGTTTTCTGTAGTTTATGTAGTCCGATTTGTATATGAGCTACAATATAATTAGGCAAATATAAGTTCAGTTGTGATCTTCAAATATACAATGAATGAATTGTTTTTTTGCTCATCGTATGTTGTTGCATTAGTGAATCAAAGATATTTCCATGAATCGTACATTTTTCAAGTAACACCTATTCTTGTAACTTACTGTTACATCATATATGGTACATATATGCATTAGGAATAAAAATAGATATATTTTAAATAAAGTATTGTGTTTTTAGGTTCTAATAATTTTTTTCATATAAAATCAGTTTGATGAAGATCTCTAGTTTAGTAGCATTTATCATACTCATGATTCTCATACATTGTGTTCCAAATAAATCCACCTAAATTTGACGTGACTGCATGTTTTAATGATTGAGAATATTCGATAAAATAAAAAAGAGGGCCAGTGTATACTGTGTGTGGTAAATTATAATCATGTTTAAATAACGAACCTATTAACAACAGAATTAGATTACTAAACGTGAATATGTTATCGACCATTAATATTTCATTTTTAATTAAAATACGTTTATCATTAAAGTCAAGGAAACATTTTACATTTTCTTTCAATTCAAATTCTGAACAATCTTAGGTAACAATCGAAACATAAACACTTATTAGAAACAGTGAAAAGTAGTAAAGAACTCTTGTTTTAGTTATTTAATTCACAATTATTGTCTGGTATAGAAATAGTAAACAACGAATGAACAAACATTTCATCGTTTCTAAGAATAACGATTGATATTACAAAACTACGGAAGTTAGAATCTTCGTAATGTATATATTCTAAGCTATTTACAGAAACCAAACAAGATTTTCGTAAACCTTCATTTCCAACATTCACTAAACGCTCGTACATGTAACCATTGCACAATAAATTGATGCCTTAAATATCGTAGACAATACCGACTGTAACATGTTATTCTCTAAATCGATTGTTTTTAGTTGTATAACAAAGCTGATAAAAAAGTTTTAGAAAATCTTACCTCTTGTTTGAAATTTAAAGTGTTTAATTGAACAGTCTCTATGAAAGTAGATGGTAAGCTTATAAAAATTCTTAAGGTTACAATTAAATTGAAAAAAGTTGGCATACCATTGCATTTTCATTGTATACATAATTAATACATGATATCTGAATAGTTCGTGCCTTTAGACTTTCATCTTTGAACATGTCATATGTGGTTGGAATTATTTACTCAGTCGTAAAATTAAGCGTATCTATATGTAAGCGTCTGTTTATTACTTTCACTTCGGATGAGCAAATAGTGTCGGGAAAATAATCTGACAATCAAAACAACTTCAGAATAGCCGATTAATTTTTGACGAAGATGAAAATTTAGTAGGTAAGTAAGCTCAGAAACGATTATCATGTATAATAGCTTTTTTAAAAGTATGTATCGACTACGGTTTCTATTAACAACGAATCTTATGCCATAACCGTTATGATTGTCAGTCAAATGTTGCTTTATTTTATCAGACATAAAGTGTTCCAGTTTGACATCATGTTGACACATAAAAGAAATAATAATGCTTATACAGCAACCCAAGCAGCCTTAATACTGAGGCAAAATTCATTTATTTGCGGCATTTCATTTTCGATTTGTAACCATGAATCGATCAATGTTAGACCACCATAAGAAACGTGGAAGCCTTGGACGGCCGTTTCGTCCGGGTATGGGACTCATCAGCATGGTTACAAATAAAACTTAACAATCTTCACAACAACCCCGCAATTTCATTTTCTGTTTAATTAAAATGACAATTGATCAGAATTCCAAAAACACATTAGTTCGCACAGTATCTAGACAGAAATTAACTATTTTCATCGAAACATAAACAAATAACACTTAAAAAAAAAGTAACGTGGATAATTTTCAATGTTTCTCACAAAAATAATAATCATTAAAAAAAGCACAAAAATATACAATAAATTACACTGATATATTAATAACACTTCCTAAATTAACTATATCAGTAGAAAAAATCTCAGTGGATTTATTCACTTTCACTGGAACTAAACACGTCAAATTACTGTCAATTGAATATGGACATGTATACAACTGTACATTATAATTAGGATTTATTAATGATGTTTGTTGTGTTGTAGGTATAGTGAGGATTGGTAGTTCACTATCAGTAATTACTTGTATAGTAGTAGATGGTGATTTTTCCAAACTCTCCTTATCTAATATAAATGTATCGTGTACAATATCGTTAACAATATTGGAATTTTGCTTAGAATTATTATTATTATTATTATTAATAAAATTTTCTTTGAGATAATGTTCATTTAAAGGTGAATGCGTTGTTGGTGAACTTGTCGGATGCATAGATTGATTTTGATAATTTTCATATTGTTTTCTGCTGAATGATTTTTCTAGCAACTGTATAGGTGTTGTAGAAATTTCATCTGTATCATCAGTTTCATCATTGGTTTTATTATTTACTACATGTGATGAACAACATGCTCTACATTGAGATGACTTTTTTGGATGCCATAATGCACAAATCACAGCCTGTATTCCAATTAGTGTAAGAAATCCAAGTGAACCTGGAATAAGGAGAAATCGATAACGCGTCCATGCTGACAATGTTTCAGTTCTATGTGGATTTGATTTGTACACATCTGGAGTAACAGTATTAGGAGTCTTAGATGTATCATCAAACAAAACATTGAATTTAGAAGTAGGTGTTGATATCTCTATTAAGTAAGCAAAAGAACAAAAAAGGAGAAATCTATAAGTATGAAAGTGATCATATTTAACATCAGAAAAAATATATTCATTCATTAACATGCTTTTCTGTCAGATAACAAACAAATAAGGAATTCAATCAATACTAGTCATTCAGGTTTATGGAAAAAAGTATTTCACACTTAAACAATCATTTAAAAGATATATTTAGGGAAAAAAACACTATTGAACTGTAGAACTAAAATCTCTGTTTTTAAATCAAAGTAAATATGTGTTGTATACAATAAAAGCTTGAAAAGATTTTCTGATCAAATATTATTGAAAAGCATTACTATGCCATATGCCTTCAAGAAAACCTATTATAACTTAACTGTAAGTTAATTTCTTAAGAAATAAATTATGTGGCTGGATTAATTTAGGCCTAATATTTGATTATCTCAATCAGCAATGCTGTAACATTCATAGCTTAAAAGTCGTTCAAACGTCGATACTGAATGATTGGTACTTTTTGTCAAGCCAATTCTTTGTATTTTAAATGCTTTAATGTTTTTGGATAAGGACAAATTCTGAATTTCCTTCTTATCGTAAGCTAAACCTCGTATTTTCTGTGATTAATCATCGCTTTCAATATTTTTTAGTATGTTAGGCTACTACAAGACCGTTCACCTGTGAGAAAACTGATTGTGTAGGATTGCTTAAACTACTTTAAAGTAAGCCTAAATTCAAGATCATTGAATAAAATTTTATGTTAAGATATATTTAGAAAGCCGAATTTCTTTTTTTCACTACAAATACGATAATTTCACTCGAATCATTTTCTATTAACTCTTAATTTCGTCTAGTTCAGAGAATCAAGATCTACTTTAGATTGGCTTGTAAGAACAGTAAATTACTTCATGAATGAAATGATAATTATTTTTCAGCCATACAATGAAATAACCAGTGAAGTCATTAAAAAGTATTACTAAAAATGTTTGAGTATCCAATTATATTACATTATTTCTTTATAAGAGGTAGAGTACAAACGGCTTGGCTGTACATATATTGGTATACTGGTTAGCGCGTGTGAAAGTCAATTTCAAGGCAGTATTAAATGGTAAGAAGGGAAGTAGGCCGCCTTGAGTTATAAAGTTATGACACTTATGACATGAAGCAAAGAATATTTCGATAGAATAAAAAATAACTTGATCACAATTTACAGAGACAGTGTTACACTTCCAAGTTGTTGGGGATGTTAGATCCCCAGAACTCGCTTATAAATGCCTTATTTTGGATTTCACGTTTGCGAGCATGGGCTGATCAGTTGACCTTGAGATTGCATTTCCCACCAGGAAAATCCATGGCTGTGATTGGCTGCTGTGTATTTTAGTGTGCTATTTTCTTAACTGTCCCAAGGACGTTTCTATGATGTATAAATAAACGAGAGTTGTGTGCTTGATTGTATTGTGATTGATGGGTGTTGTAGAATATACTTTCTACGCCTACCAAGTCTTCTGTTTTGCAGTTTGGTATTCAAGGTAGCCTACCTGGACGCTGGTAATTGTCTCGTTCGCATTTATCGATTAAGGTGAACTAGTAATAGCTTCAAGTCTACCAAGTGACGAACATAACACATGTATATTAGAAGAAACGTAATATATTACATTGATTACCTTCATTATTATTTACATGTGTATCGGGCATTAATTTAATAGCAATACGAAGATTGTAAATTGAACATAAATCATGTTGACCTGTAAAATAAGAGAAAAAAGGTACTTGTTCAATAACTTTCCCCTAATCAATAACATTTCAATTATATAAAAGATTAAATCTAGTAAATTAGTTTTCATGTACGCTTACTATAAAAAATTTTATTTGATTGTGAGATGTTTATCATAAAAGTAAGTAAAATAACGTTTAATAACAGAATAATATGAAGTTTTTGAGTTTCTAGATAAAGTACAGACATCAGCTAGCTACACAAGACAGAATGTCATTTTAATTTATTTGACAGCTAAACAAAAATGAATTATTGTTTTACGTTTCAATATTCCGAAATCAAATATCTGAATTAGATTTATATGTAGATTGATTGTAGAGTAATTTTCTTTGGCCTACCTAGAGTGTTCTAAAAATAGACAGCTTCTATAGAAAGAGAGAAAGTGATTTGTATACATACTCACACTCACACTGACACACACACACAAATAAAACAAAATATGCAAATCATTTTTCCCTCTTACAACACATTAAATGCATAGACAAACTGTAATTAATTGAAAAATCATACTTAGAAAAAAAAATAATATAATAAATATTTGCATAGTATGGCCTGACTCCATTTATGCATTTGATTGATTGTAGTTTTGTTGTAACGATAATAAAATTTAATCTTTTCCGTCACATTTCGACAATATAAAGATGCCTATTTTTATGTAAGTATTTTGTCGAAAAACGTTTTTTCTTATTGATTACGTTATTTTATTTAGTCAACATGGTTTTAAGGGCTTATTATTGCCACTTTCCTAGCGATGTTTCGGAACATATTAAATCTACCTCAAATTAGTACATATCTCAAGTTACTGGATCAGAAAACAGGTATTTTGTTTTTTAGAAAAACAGCTGCATAAATAAAAATTGCAGGGAATGTTTTTACTGTAAGGTAACGAAGCTCATGTTTTCATAGTATTTATTTTAATAATCTAAAATAATGGGAAGTAGAAATCTATTTGTTGATAATTTTACGTATTCAGCGGCCATATTCTTTATCTTTCTGTTAGCTAATGTATAGAACCGTTGAATCGTTTAAAGCTGAATTTACTGTATAAAACAGTCAGTAATATCTAAACACTTAATATTTGACATATATCCAATTCATACTGGTTAAAATATATTTGTGAAAAATATGTTGTCAACATTAAAATTGTTCACTTGCATGTTTGTTAGTTAAACATTTTAAAGCGAATGGGGTTTGAGAGATGTCGCAATCGTTGATTTGAATGGTGTCCTCAAGAAATCTTCATTGCTTATTTGGTGAACACTATCATAATAAATTTGAATAGTTCGAATAGCTACCAGATATGATTAAAAAAAATTGTTCTACTGATATAAGTCTGATTTAATCGCTTTTGTTTACAGTTTGAAAGTTTGATAACGTTAACTTAATCGAAATACGTTAACTTTTTTTATAATGAACCTGAGAATACAGTTAACATATGAAGTTTATCAGTTTCCCGCTTACATTGGTTACAAAGCTACTCTAGTCATTATATCTATCAAAAATGAATACTATTGAAAGCGACATACAAACATTATATAGGTTAATCTTAAAATGTTGAGTTATAACCAGCATTTGTAATGAAAATTTAGATCACTCTACGTTATTTATAAGAAAACCTACCCAAAAAGTAAACATAATCATTTTCTCGAAAATGTGGAGAATAAGGAATTTCTGAAAATCGTGCTACTTTCAGGATAAACTCTGTATTCTTGGGGCTTTGACTGCAATCCATTAGTTTCACAGCTTGAGATGAACTTGATGCACCACAGTCATCGTATGTATCTTTGCTCATTGTCTACAATGAAATATAATGTTATCAGAAAAATTTGTTTTGAAAATAATGAATTAATTAATCAATAGACATCAGTCAAGATGAATAAAAATCAACTGAACGAGTTCCGCAAACATCAGGAAGAACATTAAAATTATACAAACAAATAGAAAATATAGTTATTCATTTATTTAGTAGACACTCAACTTTGCTTATTTTAAATGACTTGCCTCCAAAGTCAATTTTTTAGAGGTAATTACATGATAAGGCATTTGAAGGGGTAAAGAAAATTAATTATATCACAGAAATAAAATTATTTTATTGACAGCATTTTTAAATTTTATCTTTCGGAGTAAATTTTACACATGTTTTTCTTGAACCTAATACAACATTGTGAATCAGTGTTAATATAATTAAAATGAATAAACAGGAATCATTATTGAAAACTATCATTTTCAAAGCAGAAGTACACACATTTAGTGCTGTTCCACCTGACCAAATGAATAGTTTTAGATAAAGTTTACTTCTTGTCATTAAGCTATTTAATTACATGAGTTGAATATAACAGAGGGAGTGAAAAAAAATTGAGTCTCATTGTTATCACTAGTTTCTTCAAGATTAAAAGTACTCCTTGATGACGTGTGCTAACTAACATGTAACTCAAATTCAGAATTTAATGGAACACACCTAGAACTGCTTAACATCTGAACATATTTCGCATATTGCCGAGTTACGTTGACAAGTGGTCACACTACAACTTGGTCGATACCCGTCTGTTAGCACTAGATAATTATACAAAACGCGACTATTGGTACATTACTCGATGTTTAATGAACTATAAAGATGAAAATTACTTTTTTATGTTATCAACTCCGTAATGTTACTATTTCTGACAAATGATTTCATTTCTTAATTACAACTTTATAACTTTTTACATAATATTTGGTTGTCTGTTTTTAGTTTTTGATACAAAACATAATTAAGAAAAGAAATGGTGGAAAGTATCATAATTGATCCATGTTAAATAAATGATTAGGATATCTACTGATCACCTATTTATTTACGCTTGTTACTCTTAATGTAGCGTAGGCTGCTGAGGATAGCTAGCTTCTTGTATTATCATTAACAGGCTACAGTAAAATTCCACGCTTCACACTATTATATGCAGTAGAATACTTTGACTCTTATACTAATCAACAGTTTTTGCCTAATAATCATGTGAAAGCATTCTTGTTTAAGTAGATATCATTTCTTTGTTTAGCAGTAAACTTATTTTGACTTTGTATGATTGATTATCATTCAGCGTATTAAGCATTCATTCTAACTTTCAGGCAAGTAAAAATATTATGTTGTGTGATAACTTTGCAGTAAAAAAAGGAATATAACATCACGAGCCTTTATTCAGAAATGTTAAAAAACTTCAGGCATTAAAATAAAGAGTATCGTACATTGAGTTTATCGTGACAGTTCTGTCATCACTTAAGGAAAAAAGGCTCTTTACGTGTATCAGGAATGTTTCACAGAAGAAGGAAGACAAGATGACATTAAGAAAGCCAAATTCAAATTTACAGCATGAGTAAATTTTGAAGTGACTTGAGTTTTGTGTAGAAATATGACTTTCACATAGACCGATGAAACAAAATAACTGATTGCATTTTACTAAGTACATAAAAATGAATAATAAGATCTGCATTCATCAGAAACATAAAGAAATAAGAGTTTTAGCCTAAGCAAGCTGAGTAACTGACATTACAAAAATACATTATACATACCTAATCTATGCGACATGCATACTATCACGACTCTACTTGTCTCAACATACTTAAAAGGGAACATTTATCATTATTGCTACAGCCAACTAATAGGAATATTTTGATTTTCTGTGACAAAAGTGTAGGCAGATTTCGTGGATAGAGTAAACATCATTTCAATGAATACAGATTTTCTGTATATGGTAAATCTTTGATGTGACAGTAAAACATTAGATGATGAAAAGAATGAAATCAAAACTTCATAAGATTTTTCAAATACTGTAAATATAACTTACCCAGAATAATCTCTGATTTCTTCTTACATCACTAGAACATATGAAAACTATGTTGTCACCTTCTTTTACTTTGAACGTTGTTACATTTGAAGAAAATCTGTAAACAAAGAAAATCGAGATCCGTTTTATTATAAACTCTATTGCTGTGATACTGCAAGTCACTTCGTTGAAACGTTTCAAAAAAGTTTACACGCATAAATAACCGATTTTTTCCTACAATATACTGATCATCTTGACTAATTAAAACAATGAATCTGTTTTATCCTACAAATAGTTTTCGAAGTATTTGTAAAATTCACCAAAATATCTATCAGAACTATTGATCGATTTATTAATCTATATTTTACAGTTTATCTGCTTCTGTATGATTTGTTGTTTATGAATTAACTACTTGTGACCGAGCATCTCTAAGACGTCTACAACCATGAGAAAACAACTTCGTGGTTTTTCAGAGCTGATAAAATATTGGAAACTATTATAATTTTTTTCCAGAAATTATACTAATTGTTTGATCACAGCAATTGTTGTTTGAATAGCCGTGTCTTTCTTCAACCTCTATTCACTTGTATAACATACATTTTAAATATTGCATCACACATAAATACTATCGTATGAATCGTATTATTGTATTCTTTGAATCATCCAGAAACTGGGTACTTGATGGTAGGCCTAATTATGATATAAACAACTCAGCTGTTCAAATTTTAGAAACGGATAAGAATACTGTATGATGCTTAAGATAGCAATTGGGTATTCTTGATTATTTTAAAAAATAAGCATTCGCATTCGGTATGATATTATGAACACGAATGAAACTGAACTTTGAACAAATTTCAGTGAAACTGATAATTATGTTTACCATCCCCCATCTATCAGATTTACTATGAATTATTTATTATCTTTACCCATTTGACATAAATGTTTGTTTAAAATTGTCGCTAATTTGCTTGAATTTAGCAGCTCAGTTGCAGATCCACTTTTATAATGAAGATGGGAAGTCACATTAGGGACAACTATTTTGAGCCCCGAATGACTAGGAACAGTTAAGAGGAAGAAGAGTTCATTCGCTCTCTTGAAGTGCTGCCATGTAGTCACGCGTATATCATCACTGTCAGGAAAGTCCTACTACTTTATAGTGGCTGAGATATTACTTACGAGAATAAGAGGATGGAAAGCGAATGCCGAACGCTTAGATCGGGTCAGTTGTTACGAGAAATTCACCTAAGGGAGTTATAAGACCCTGACTCCAAACTAATGTTTTACATTTACTCCAGGATTATTAGAGAACAAATGGCATATGACGCTGTTGTTGGTCACCGGCTACCAACATCTGCCTTGATCCGCTGCCCTGTCAATTAGACCCCTTAGTCAAGGGCTCCAAGGTTACTACCTGTTCAGTTTAGGCACCCAGGAAGTATCCTAGCCCACGGATAAGTTCAATAATTTGCGAGATGAACAAATACTAAGGTGCCCCTCCGTATCAGTAAACACATAAAAAATAAAAAGGATGTAGTCCGTTGTGTATATTGTCAGGAGATAAGTTAAATATCATTCGGAATTAAAGTGTCGAAATCCTGGGACTAGGTGAAGAATGTAAGAGGAACTTTTGTGTTTAAACTAATTCGATAAATAAATATATGGCCTTTAGCGTTTTACTATAGTAGATATTGAGATACGTAACTGAATAGTCGCTATTGACCTATGTGCATAATGGCGAACCGCTTATATAATATATCTTAGTTACAAATCTCAGTAAAGTTGGATTGTGGCTAGTAGTGTAGACTGATCTACTTTAATCTTTAATACCGATGCTGGGAAAACTAAAAAGTTTACTTCCTAGGTCTTTTAATTAAACGAACATTATATGAGATGTTACCTCAATGCATCTACCTAAAAAGTGCAATGTTTGAAATTGAACTGCTTGTAAAGACCGTGTATACACCTAGAAGATAATAAGCACTTGGTAAGATTTACAAGTATCTAATGAGCTGGCATGATAGACGAGCCCCCGTCTGAACTAGTACAAAACGGAATACTTATGTGGCTCAAGGATGCCTTGTTGCAGGCCAATTAGCTATACAGTGTTTATTCATTTACAATTAACCGTGATCTTTCTTTCTTGTGGTATTTCTTTATATACGTGTATAATAGAGGGTATGTGTCTGTCCACTTCTTACATTATTGACAGCTTTCAAATTTTATTTGAAGATACGTACTCAAAACCGGACCACTCTGGTGCTTCAGTAATCATTCCACATAGTTTGTTTGCTTATAGCTAAATGTCTTCCAGTCTTCCAGTTGCAATAATTATTTTGCTTTTGAATACTGATGTCAGCCGAAATATGATAAAGGGAGTTAGTAGCACCTATATCTCATTCATAAGGGTCCCATTACCAACTACGAAGTCAAGAAGTTGTGACAAACATATAAGTCCGATGTGCGAACGCGATCAAGTCTACCCATCACAAGGAACTGAAATAAACAAAAATAATAAGTTCCTTTTTTTCAGAGCACTAAATTGTATTTAACATGTAAATAAGGAGACCAATTAATTAAAAGAAGAGAGATAAATGTGCGTACTTGTATTTGTGATCACGATCAAAAAATTTGAGATTAAAAGATGCCACAATCCCAAACAGTGAAACAGCAGGTGCACCGTAGTTAATACTAAATCCTTCGAAAATACAACCTCAAGCTTCACTGATGCTATTAAAATACTCAAACCGAGGTTGTTTTCAAAAAGAAACAGTTATCAGTGTATCTTTACCATGCATGGTTAGTTCATAGCTTTGGTAAAACCATATGCATAATTATTATCACTGTTTAAATTTTACTAAGGACTATATTCAATAAGCTACTGTTTTCATCTGCTTTAACATTATCTTGTCTTTCACTCACTTAATTCTTAAATCTGTGTCAACTCTTTGAATGGAGATTATTTTTCATATATATTGTCTGTCATATCAGTTAAAAGCAGCTCACGAAAATTCACAGAATAAAAATGAATTCGTATTATACTGTCTTAAATCGAGTTCAGGTTCAATTTAAATTTTTACAAGGAACTAAATGTGTAAACTTGTTCATTTTGTTTCAGATTTGTGTCCTAAGATAATATGATTTATTTACTAGTTGTTTATATATATATATTAAACAAGCTAGTTTCCAGAACTTCAAATTATAAATTTTGCAAAATGTTAAGCATTAAAAAGCGGAGTCATCATAATGATATTTTGAAAAAAACAATGGACATTTAGTAAATTATAGTTTTGACTATATAAAGGATCATTGTCTAGTATCAATGAACACAAGAAATACTTATATTTAAATTATTGATTGATGAATTAAAATTTAGTTTGCTTTTTAAGCTTACACGATTCCGAAAATAATGTTATTTTTTTCTATTTATGGATGATTTACTTTGTGTATAATATTCAATGACTAAGAAATATACAATCTTCAAAATATAAGTCTAGTTTGATACAAACTATGATGGACTTTATTTTGGTTGGAAGCAAGTTATTGTGAAATGAAAAATTGGCATTTACTTTAAGTTAAACGATATTGCAGAGTTTTTATGAAATGATTTTGTGTATTATAAATTATTTCTTTTTGGAATTTCAGTACAGGAATAGATAATTCTTTCAGTTTACAAATTTGCGAGATATATTTTGTACAATGTTACTTTTCTCAGTTTTACAATCAATGATTTCGTGGTTGAAAGCTACCAAACAAAAATGTTCAAATATTTGTAGTCGTTCCTCGTATCTAAATATACACCATAATCTTTATGATTGTGAGCATGTATACAGCAGAATCTCACTAATTTATACACCTAGGTGTCATTAATATCAGTCAACCGAACTTAACAAAATAAAATGCTTCTTAACACAAAAACAAGAAGTATGCTTATTGTGAACTAACAAAAAGGGTGATCAGTAGCAAACTTCTAGTCAGTGGTTGAAATTCGTCGGTAAATAGTATATAAAGGCTAGGTGTAACTGATCCTCCTAATGAAGCCCATACTCTCGTCATTTACATGTACATCAAAATAGGTTACCACTGAGTTGAATGACATATGACTATCCGTCGACATTACTGATTTGTTGACACACTTTGAAATTTCACATCAGGAATCACTTCAGCTCTTGTTGCAAATGTACCTAATTGGCCAACAGTGCGACTAGGATATTCACGTTATTATTCTCGTCACTTTCGACCACCTAACCAGGGCAGATCTCAATAAACGTTAATCATCCTAGAAAATGATTAGGAAATCTAGTTTTCCTCTTTAACTGTCAGAAACATTTTAGCTAATTCAATCTTGATAACATCATAAAATGTGTTACGTAAGAAGCACAATAAAATTTACTTTATTTTCATACGCGTAATCTTTTTCAATGCATTTTATGATAAAGTAAACTCCGTTAACTACAGTATTTTTCTTAAGTATATTTCTCAGTAGACTATGGACATATTTAGCTTGATAGAAAATCAATCAATTCGCTGTCTATGTCTGTCAGAACAAAGTTGAAATTTGCATAATTTTATGTTTCTACGTCAGAAATGTGTTCAAAGGTTTATATTTAGGAGTAAATATTGTTAGTGTACATTTCTATTTATTTCTGCTCATATGGCACTTCATTAGCAACACAACATCTTAAATGTAATACATTTTAACGTATAACAATTTCATAATATAAGGTGGTCCGAAACATGAGGACTGATAAATGATAGGCGTCTATCAGGAGCAGTACTGTCCAAATTTCATAATATAATATACATATTCTACTTGCGGATGATTTATTCTACACAGTTGTCAATAATTTCAAATCATATATATATATGCATATATTGGGGCGTTAGGTTTGAACTGATTGAAACATTACGAACAAACTGATTAGCAGTATGAAATGTTCATAACAATTTTACTAAATTATTATGGAGAAAAATTACGTTTAGAGCTTCTAGAACTGAGATTGTTATAAATAATCTGCTCCCTAACTATCAACGCAATTATGTAAATGTACTAGAAGCCATCAAGAAAGAAACTATGAAGGTGATTTAGGCTTATTTAGGAAATATCAATTAGGCTTTTGT